ATTCTGTTCCGCACCGTCTCCCAGAGAGTCCCCAGTGCCATTGCATCCCAGTTGCCCACAGAGGTCGCCCTCTGTTTAGCTCACCCTTGACTGGCCTTCCTCCCTCCCCTGTCTCACTCCCCCCGTCCATCACGGCGCTTACGGGGACCTCTTCCCAAGTGAACCACTTGCAGCCACATCCTTGTCTCAGGGTCTGCTTCTCGGGGAACCCACACTAAGACGACAGAGCAGAAAGGAAGTGAGCTGAGAAGTCATCCCGTCTCTTCCTGACTTTTAGGCACTTCCGGTCTGTCTGCACAGCTCCGCAGAAAAGGTTCCGGCAGCCTCCGTGGTAAGCAGTCCAGTGCTCAATTCTCAGTGTCAGACCTTTGCTTTTCATTCTCAACCTTCAGTCCGTCCTGCTGGAATTTAAAACCACTTCATCATCTTACGATTTTTTTCTTTTTCTGAGAAATGGCCAATAGCTGACCACCACCTTTGGTGTAAGAACCCCCTGTATGCTGGAGCGTGGGTATTAATCTTTACTTCTCCTGGCCGAACAAGCCAGGTTCTTTTAAAGAGTGCCCATCAGCCCCGTTTTCCAGGCTTTTAATCATCTTCGCGGCTGTAAGCTGTCACCCCCAGCTGCTCCTGGAGACCACCAGATGTATGTTTTCACCCGGGGAAGTTCACAGGAGGGGAGGTGGCCCAGCTGCTGTAAATCACCCCCTCCCTTGCCTCCTCCCCGAAGTCAGAGAACAAGCCCCAGCTTGCTGTCGAAGGCCATAAAACTTCTCTTCTTTCAAGGGCCCCATTGTTGGGCATGTTCATTGTAGCAGGCACGCAAGTCCACCAAGGGCCCATAAAACTTCCCGAGGCTTTGTGCGGGTGACCCCCCGGGCCCGCGCCTTAGCAATCCCACCCTTAAGCCCACAATAAAACTGTTGCTGGGTTCACCCAGAAACAGACCGGACTCAATTTGCCTTGTGATTTGTTTGTTAGCTTTACAAATGGCTTTTGAGGCCAGACAACCCCTCCTAACCCTGACTCCTTGATCCGTGGAAGCTCAGGGACTTCCCGGGGAGCTGGGGGGGCTCCCGGGGGCCTCCGCGGAGACTGGAAAACAATTCGCCCCAGGGGAAAGCTATGGCTGCCCTTGAGGGGTGAGCCAGCCTTCAGATGCGGCCGGCTCTCCTGTCTCCAGTGGGCGAGGGTGTCTGGCCTCTTGCCTTGGCCAGCATGGTCCAGGGCCCGCTCCCTGCGATCCCCGAGGCCCTTGCCTGGTCCCTGAGAGTGAGTCCCCTCCAGCAATCCTACCGGCCTTGGCAAAGGGAAGTCGAAGCAAAGACGGTCGACAGGAGGAGGAGATTTACCCCAGACATAGCTTAGTGAAGAGCACAGACTTCAGACAACCCACCCGTCCAGGCACCGGAGAACGGATAGTCACGCCACGGGACACGAAAGAACAACGTACGGCTGCACACAACATGTGACCGAGTCGCGCAGACATTCTGCCAAGAAGCCAGATATATAAGGGTAAATACTACACGCTTCCAGCTGTGTGAAGGTTAACAACAGGCAAAACAATCTACGGTAGTAAAAGTCATGGTCGCACTCGCCTCTGGGAGATGAAGTGGGGTGGTGTTGACCGGAGAGGGACACACGAGAACTCTCTAGGGGTGATGGAAATGTTCTGTATCTTGATCTGAGTGCGGATCACATAGGTAAACACCCATATAAAAAGTGAGCGAGCTATCCACTTCAGATCTGTGCTTTCTTGCATGGACACTATACGTTAGTAGTTGGGGGGGGGGCGCGGGGGGGGGTAGGGGAAGCCCTGACTTCTGACCCGCAGAACATGAGCTACTAAATGCCTGTTACTCTCAGCTGCTAAATTTGTAGTCATCTGTTACACAGCCCTAGAGAACGAATACATCTCGATTCTAACACTGGTTCTGCCTGAGGTTTACTGTGTGGCCAAGGGTATGTCGCTTACCCTCTCTGAGCTTCAGCTTCCGCAGTTAATGAAAACAGTAACTCCTTTCCCGCCTGCAGGATTAATGTGAAAATCAAATTAAGTAATGTAAGCGAAAGCACTTGAAAGGTTATAAAGCAGCTCATAAACAGAAAGCTTATTATTGTCATATAAAAAATAAACCTCCAACTCTGACCACAGGAAATGATTTAGAATCAACCAACCCAGGGCTGATGACGCCCATTTTGTTATAGGCCCTCAGCCACCATGTCAGCTGGATGTGGGCGTGCTCAGCATTGGATCTGGCAAGCGTGGGGACCGAATGATGTCACACGCACTCCTTCTGAACACTGCCGCCTGCGTCCCATTTTGTCCCTGCCACAGATTTGACACAGGCAGGTGCCTTCACCTTTATTTACTACTATTTCTTTTCACCTTCCCAAAGTAAAATACACAGGAATTTTCTTTTTCACTTGCTAGAAAGTTCTAGGCCTGCAGCTCCCCCTCTGACGCGGAAATACTGCCCTGTCTAGATGACTCTGAGCTCACCCCAACTCCTGGGGTGGCTGTCCTCTTAATATATGATTATCGCGATATCTTCTTTTTACAAGTTAAGATCTTTAACAGACTAAAATATCTTTCATTTATGATGATCAAATTAGAGCATAGTACTTAATCCACTAATCCATCTTCTTTCTTTAAACTTTTGTCATTTCTCCTCCCGCCCTTCTCTGCCCTGCGCTCCCGATATAGTTATATTGCGCTCCCATTGGATCACTGCGCAGCGTTTATCTTGTTCAACGCTTAAGTGTTTTGTAAATATTTTATACAGCTGATCCACGTAGTGAATTGTGGCAGAACCAGGATTTTAACTCACGATCATTTAACTCCAAAGCCCTGGGTTGGTTGATTCTAAATCATTTCCTGTGGTTGAAGTTGGAGGTTTATTTTTTATATGACAATAATAAACTTTCCATTTATAAATCACTTCATAACCTTCCTAGTACTTTCACATATATTACGTAATTTGATTTTCACATTAATCCTGCAGGCAGGAAAGCAGTTATTGTTTTCATTAACTGCGGAAGCTGAAGCTCAGAGAGGGTAAGCGACATACCCTTGGTCACACAGTAAACCTCAGGCAGAACCAGTGTTAGAATCGAGATGTATTCGTTCTCTAGGGCTGTGTAACAGATGACTACAAATTTAGCAGCTGAGAGTAACAGGCATTTAGTAGCTCATGTTCTGCGGGTCAGAAGCTGGGGCCCAGCACGGCTGGATTCTCAGCTCAGGTTCTCACAAGGCTAAAAGCAAGGTGTTGGCCAGGCCCGCAGCCTCGCCTGGAGCTCAGGCTCCCCTTTCCGGCTCATTCAGGTTGTTGGCAGGATTCAGTGCCTTGCAGTTGTAGGACTGAGGTGCCCATTTTCTCGCTGGCTGTTGGCCAGGGGTCCCTCTCAGCTCCTAGAGACCACTTTCAGGGCCTTGGCACATGGCCCCCACCACCTTCAAAGCCAGGAATGGAGAATCTCCTGGACCCCAAATGTCTCTCATTTATTGGATCCTTCTTATTAGGAGGAGCCCAGTCTCTTTTAAGGACTCACCTGATTAGGTCAGGCCCACCCAGGATAATCTCCCTTTCTTAAAGTTGTGCAATCCACATCCCCTAATCCCAGGAGTGTTATGCCATCATATTCATAAGTCCCTCCCACACTCAAGAGGAGGGGATTCTACAGAGTGTAGACCCCTGGGGGCTGTCTCAGAATCCTGCCTAACGTAGGAAGTGTGCTGGCATAGCAGCATTCTCCTCACTGAAGGGAGGGCTGCCCTGACCACTTGTGTTGAGAGCTCCACGCCCATCTCAGGTTATAAAATTTAAAAACAGACAGATCATTATAGAATCTGCCTAAAGGGCTGCCTTTGGGCTGAAGCATTACAGCTATGCTGTTGACTGTGGAAGCTGTCTGCTTCGGCTCATTACAACAGAGGTTTGTAATAGAATCTGGGGGCGTATTTGTTCATGGCCAATTTCCATACCCTGAGTTTCTTAAAAGAATCATTCACCAGAAATAAAGCAGTCACGAAAAGACAAATACTCTACGATTCCGCTTATTCGAGGTCTCTAGAGAGGTCGAATTTACAGAAGCAGAAAGTAGACCGGTGGCTGCCAGGGGCTGGGTATGGAGTTCCAGTTTTGCAAGATGGAACGTTCTGGAGATCTGTTGCATAACAATGTGAATATACTCAACACTACCAAACTGTACACTTAAAAATGCTTGTGATAATAAGCTTTATGTTACATGGGGTTTTTTCACCAGTTAAAAACAAAAATAAATTTTAGAAAAAGAATCACTTGCCAAGGCTTTTTGTGATCTGAAGTACAAACGAGCTCTTCAAAGCAGCCTCGGGGGCAGGAAAAGTTACCAGGATGTTGTCGTGGACGTGGATGCTTGGCTCTCTCAACATCTCCTCCACCCTCCTTCTCTGGGTCTTTCTGCGCCGCAGAGCCTGGAAAGCTGGGGTTGAGCACGAACTGGATTCTACCAATGAGATGCTCTCGTGGATGATTTGGAGGCTGGGGGAGGCAGAGGCCACGCTCCATCGACAAGCGTGGATGGGGGCCAGTGAGTTTCTGCAGCCGTTCCCCGGCGCCCCACACCAGCCTCACAGGCGTCAACCAGCAGTTGAGGCAACAGCATAAGAGTCTTCCCCACCCCTGGGTCACAGCCACGGCAGCATGTTCTCAAAGCCACCAGTCCCCATAGAGCCTTCTAATTGCCAAGCTTCCTGGTTAAGGGAGAGGGAGAGCGGCTCCTCTTGGCAGACCAGTGCTTCCGCGCGGTTGTTCTGAGAGTCACTCACTCCTGGGGGGCCAACCTAAAGCCCCATTCTCCCGTCCTTACAACAATGTTGCAAATACCCAATACCCTGAATTAAATCCCTTTCTGCTTCAAATAGCTGGAGTGATTTCTTTTTCCTGCAACTGAACCCTGGGCATCAGTCATACGTGATGGCAAGGCAGTGGATGCTCTGGAATTTGATCACTCCAGCATGCAAGGTTGTGGTGGCATCTGATAGAGGCCACATCTTCAACTTTTTCTGGGGCTGTGCTGGGGGCCTTCTGTATAAAAGGGGACTTTGGCATTTATTCCCGTCTGCCCAACTCTCACCCTGCCCCCTCACACTGGGCCTCACCCCCGGCAGGACCCCTTCTGCTGTTGAGTGGTGCTCTGTTTCTCTCCTTTCCCTTTCCCAGCTATTTGAAAACTTTGTCCCTCTACTGGAGCTCCCTACCAAATTGTAGCAGACCCTGGGGCTGTCCACTCCAGGCGTCCCCCAACCTCTGCCCTGCCAGCAGAACCCAATTTCATTTGAGTATTAGGCAAAGATTTCTTAAGCTTAGGTAATATGTTCTATGATGGGTTTGTGACCCACTTCTAGCTAATAAGGGAGTCTCCTGGGAAGCCCCTGAAGAGAATTTTTCTCCCCAAGAAGTGAGAGTGGGAGAGTTTTCTCACTGCCTGATTGTCCATAACTTCTTCTCCTAAAACAGACACTTGATGCCTGGAGCTACAGCAGCCATCTTGATACCACGAGGTGGCAAGCATCCAGAGAAAAGACCAATAGCTAAGGATGGCAGGGCAGAGTGGCTGACAGAACAGGGTCCTCCATGCAATCAACAAACCATGGACAAACCCTGGAACTGCCTACTTCCAGACTTTTGCTAGTTAAGCAGTAAAGACCCTTAAGGTTTAAGGCACTATTAATTGGGTTTGGGGGTTCTCCAAGCCAAAAGCCTTCTTGACATATCTAGCCCATTCCTGGTAACTCAGTAGATGCCCTTGCTTTTGACTTTGCAGAGAAAATGGAGTCCACTTCCTGCCCACCACTCACTGACACACAAGCTTTCTCCCTTCCCTCTTGTCTTACAGCTGAGGGTCTCTGATCTGATCTGAGGTTGATCTCTCCCTTGCGCTCTGGACACCAGCCCCTCTCCTCTGCAGGGACCTCCCAGGGCTCATTGTTCTCTCCTGCATCTTCCATCTCCTGTTCTCCAGCGACCCCTTCCCAACTGTGGTGTTGAGTAAGCACTCAAGGCTGTGGGTACTGCCCTGAGTGGACGTGTCTCATCCCAAACATGAGGTCACTGCTTCTCAAGGGCCCCTCCCCAGTGCCCTGGGCGAGTGCCCAGAGGTGGAAGGAGAAAGGGGCTCTCTGTTCTCCCACCCCAGAGAGAGCTGGCGCCTAGGACCGCGTGGGAACCTGGGGTCCCGGCGCCAACGCCTGCTTTCCACTGCAAGGCTATTTTCCTTCTGCTTTTTCTTCTTATTTTTATCGAGGGCATATTTTCTTTATCTTTAAGGCTTTTATAGCTTTGTATCTCTGCCTCATTTTAGTATATTCTGTTGTTAGGATTTATGCTACTTTTACTGGCTCTTTACCCTCAGCACATAAACATGTTTCAGTTTTCCACAGCTTACAAAAATGAAATAAAAACCCCTTCCTTGACCCCACGTTCCTGTCGCGTTTCGGGTTCTCTCCCTCTCTCTCCCTCCTCTCCATTGTGAGCTCTTTGGGACTCATGTGCGCTTGCGGTATTTCTTCACATCCCACTCAGTCCTTAACTCTCCTTCCAAGACCGGAAACTCAGCCCAGCCTCGCTCAGCACAATGGGGGTTTTATTGGCAGGAGGCTGGGAATCTCAGGGCTGTGGGAAAAAAAGGAAAGGGATGCAGCTGGGCCACCAGAACCCCTGGACCTTTTTTCTTGTGGCCCCCACGCTCTCTTCTCCCAGCTTCTCCTTTGGAGTGATGTCCTTCTTTCCTCCACATGGCTCCCAACTGCTCCAGAGCCTTGTACCCCGTGGCTCCCCTTAGCTCCAGTTCGAAAATCCTGGGGAAGGATTCTGATTGGTCCAGCCTGGGTCAGGCATCTTTCCATGGATCAATCAGCCACGGCCATGGGAGGCGGAAACCTCAAAGAGGGGAATCGTGAGCCAGTCTCTCCGCTGGCTTCTTCCTTACCACAGCACTTGCCTGAAACTGTGTCCTCTCGTCCACCTGCTCGAGCCCCTGACATGGCGCAGGCCTCAACTCCTCGTGTGCTCTGGCTTCTTCCGACTGCCCGCCTGCCTGAAGCCATGGAGTGCCACTCGCCTGGAGCATCTGCCATGGAGCAATGCTGAGATTAGCCCCCTCTAGCTGACTTCGACCATGACCCTGGGGCGTATAAATAATCCAGCTTCCTCACTCCTCAAGGGAAAATGTGGTGGCCACAGAGATGTGTCCCAGGTCCCCTCCAAGGAGGGACTTGTTGCCCCAGTGTCAACAGCCTCCAACTGCTGAGAACCGCCTCGCCCCAAGGCCCTTCCTTCCGGGATAGCCCACAAACAATGACTGTTCATTCCAGCCACTGAGGGGACAATTCTGACCGGCCAGATCTGCTTCAGTGTTCGGGGGTTGCTCCAGGCTTTGCCAAGCCAGCTTCGCAGTCCCAGCCCTCTCTGCCCAGTCCCACTTCCTCCCCTCCTCCCACAAGTGTTGTCCCAAATAACTATCTTGGATGTGAAACTCCATTTCGGTTTCTGCCTCCAGAGAACCTAACCTGGGACAGATACCCCTGAGCTGTGTGTCCCATATTGTCTCCCAGAGGTCCCTGCGGGATTGAGCACTAGTTGCCCACAGTGGGAACTGGCTTGGTCATGCTTGCCTTCCCTTCCCTCCCCCATCTCACTTCCCCACTCCCCTTATTCTCAGAATCTCCTCAAATCTACTGGCACTCAAGTCCTGCTCTTGGAGACACCGCAAACTCAGAAACCAGGATTCTTGTGACTTTTTTGTTAAATCCGGAGCCCCAGGCTTTATCTGCAACGTGTGCCTCTGTGACCATGAGCTCTTCTGGAAATGTTTTCCTCCCTTGACTTGCTGGGTTTCCTGCCCTCTCGCTGCCCGCCCCACTGCCCACTCCCAGGATTATAGCTTGCCTTCCTCCCACATCCAACACATTTCAGAGGACCTCAGCCACTCCCCTGGAGTCGACCACCCCTACACAGGGCTGACCCACACTGTCTGTCTCCTGCCCCCATCTCACTCGAGCTCTGGACTCTGATATCCACCTGCGTCCCTGCCATCTCTACGTGGGTGCCCCACAGATCTTCAAATCAACCTGGTAGGACTGACCTCATTGCCTTTTTCTAAGCCGGTTTCTCCTCCTACATTTCCCTTCTCACAAACAGTGTGGTCCCCAAAGCCAGCTCCCTGGGAGTCACCCAACCTCCTACCCATCTCCCCTCTGGCCCGTTAGCACTTTCCTGTCCCACCTTCCACTCCCACTGAGTCTCCCCACTCCTGGGCTCTGCCCTCCACTAGCCATGTGACCTTGGATAACTCATCGAGTCTCTCTTAGCCTCAGTTTCTGCATCTGTAAAATGGGCTGTCAGTAATAGTGCCTACTCTGTTAGAGTTGCCGTGAGGTTTAAAAGATATTGCACACGTAAATGCTAAAAAAAGTACATGGTGCATAGTAAGTACCCAATGATTGTTAGCATTTCATTATTGTTGTTGTTTTTTATCTTTACCCTTCTTAAGGGCCTCATCAGTTTTCATCTTGTGCTGTAGCCATTTACATGCCATTCTTAAATGCCCTGCTGGTCTTGACGGCAGTACTATATCTCATTCATCTGTCTACCTATCCTTCTATGACTGCTGTCTCCTTCCACTCCTACTTCTTGTCAGCCATACATCCCCTCAGATCTCGTAGCACTGGAGTAGCTAGGGGAAATTTTTTGTTTTTTTTTTTTTTGGTGAGGAAGACTGGTCCTGAGCTAACCTCTGTGGCCACTCTTCCTCTTTTTTTTGTTTTTTTGCTTGAGGAAGATTCTTGCTGAGCTAACATCCACGCCCATCTTCCTCTATTTTGTATGTGGGATGCTGCCACAGCATGCCTTGACGAACAGTGTGTAGGTCCACACCCAGGATCCGAACCTGCAAACCCCGGGCCACCAAAGTGGAGCACGAACTTAATCTCTATGCCACTGGGCCAGCCCCTAGGGGAATTTTTTATGTCCAGCTAAGGGGAAGTTGAGTTTGGGATATATTTAATTGGGGTGTAGTGGGATACTTTGTGTGTCTTTTTAAACTATTGCTAGCCATCCCAGTGTAAGAACAGCTTCCAGGAGCTCTCACCACCCGCTGTTTGACTCCCAGGGGAACGTAACATGAAGATTCAGGCCCAGAGGTTGTGTCTTAATGTAAACACGGCCCATGATGCCCCAAACCAGACACACGGGGAGTGGAGGAGAAACAAGGTTTCAAAGGCATGGAGGCAGAAGCTACCCTGTGGAAAATTCTTCCAGGAATCAGACATGAAAAATTGTCAGCAGGGGATTTCGTTCTTATTCTTCCCTAGACAAAAGAAATTCTCTCCTGTTGGGAATATATTCCACACGTGATGTATACAATTATGAATGTACCATATATTTCTTTTTCCTTTCTCATGGAATAGAACTTACCAGAATTCCCTGTTTGTAGGGTACAAACCCACAGCAGCACAACAAATGGTAAGGAAGTCTGTATGAGAAGTCGCCTGTTTTATTCACCCCGGTGAATTGGACCGCATCTAAAGGCATCTGATGCCACTTGTTCTGATGAAGTCTGGCAGTTCCAAACGAAGCAGCAGGGAAAATTGCCACTGACACAGCAAAACACCCTAAAGAAACATATTTATCAAAGAGTCAGTTTTTATCCCATAAGAGTAATTCGATTATATAATTATGTAGCCCAATACAATGTAGTGGCAATTTAAGAAGGCATTTGAATTGCTCTTGTATGCCCTAATTTGAGATGAACTTTATCAATTTTTTCAGAATTACTGATCAAACCAAAAATCAATCAATGAGTATGCAGCCAAAATTTGTAAGATAAAAAGTACTATAGAGGTGTGGTAGGCAGTTAATAAAAATATTATGTTACATTGTCTGGATTTTGTGAGGTTTAAGTATTTGTCAATTCTTTAAAAATCGGAATTTCTTGTGATTTCTTGTCATACCGAATTTTGAACCTGTAATCTTATATTCTTTTACTTAAAGAAGGACTTCAAAATTGTACAAGTTTCAGGGCCCACAGAGCCTGGATCCTCCTCTGGTTTCACCACCTGACCCCATACAGGTGTGTGCCACGCCTGCGTTCTGGTACCCACTGCCCTCCACACCCATTTCCGCAGCCCGGCACGCTGGGAGTTATCTCCCGACAGAGGGAAGAGAGGACCGAGTGAAAAAGCCTATGGTTCTATCATGTAATAGAGCTGGGACTTGGAAACCACAGAGGTGAAACCGTGGGGCAGATTCAATCAGCCAGCTTCCACTTTGGGGACTGAGGGAACAGGAATGTTTGGCAAATAGAGAAGGAGGAAGGGGGCGAAAAAAGATGGGGAGTAGGCTGCAGTTCTGTGTTTGACCACAAGATGGAGGTAGAAGAGTGGGCCCTCCATTCCGTCAAAAACTCATTAAGAGCTAATCAAGGTGAAGCGGGTTTTTCATGTTTCTTGCAGCTGCCTTCCCCCTTTGCCAAGCCTCAGTGCACTTACTATTGTTCCATTCTTTTTGGTTAAAGTCATCACAAATCTGCATTTTTGTTTGTTAACTCAACTATGGCCCGCAGTTCGTCTTCTAGACAACGTTCCCTGCTTCTTACGGTTAAGGATTATGTTCTTATTAACTATTATTAGAAGAATTTTCTGACTCAGAAGTTTCAGGACTTAAAGCTATAGTCTTAGCTCAATAATTGCCTGATTATTTGCTGCTATGCTTGGAATTTTCATTACCCGGCTTCTATTTTGTGTGCATTTCTCCATACCCCCCAGTCAGGGCTCTGTGCAGAGCGCTATCGGAAACAGCAGCTCCCATTCCCGTCTGTCTGAGAGAGATATGGTTCCATCTAGGTTCACTGGGGCCCTGCGAAGGCTGAATTACTCCTGTGTTAACTGTAAAAAACAAAGCAACTTGCCTGAGAAAGACAATGATAGAAGTAGACAGAGTCAGGCTTCGTGGATCCAATCCTCCACTTTCCAAGCTGGCAGTGGACACTATCACCTCCGTCCCCTGCCAGATTTTGACAACCCTTTAGGCCAACACCATTAGCTCAGAACACATCGAACAGAAAGCATGAGGCGGTGACCAGAAATGACCACCTTCTTGACCTCTCTTGACAGCCTTGCTGTCGCGAAGGGCCCTTGACCTGGACATGTACTTGGCATATTGGTGGGGGCTCTCGCTGGAAAACCACGCCAACAATGAGAGGGCAAAGGGCCCAGCTCAACAGCAACAGGCTACTGTCCTGAGCCTAGAGACGCCCAAGCTCCTGCTCTCTGGCAGTCGAGACTGCAATGTTTATCTTTGCTGAGTTGTAAGCTTGTCTCATGGTGAAGGCCTCTCTGGCTCCAGATCCTGGTCATTCTGTTTTGCTTTGTGGAAGTGGCCTGCTCTGGACAGCCATTTGGGCAGGACAGGAGAAGCCGTGCTGGACAGGGAATTAGGGGACTAGATTCAGATGCCAGCAGTGTGACTGCAGCATCTGCCATCAGGAATGAAAGACTTTGTCCCTCCAGCTGTGGGGAGTGCTGCCAGCAGACAACCTTCAGCTCTCAGGCCCTAAAGAGAGACACTCCCAGCAGGGGACAGTGACCTTGGGAAGGGAAATACCCTTTCCGACCCGCGTCAGGAGGTTGTCCGAAAGCTGGGGAGCTGTGTTTAATGCCACCCCTGGGCTCCATTGGTGCTCATTTTTCACAGCTGCCCGCTACAGATCCCACCAGCTCTTGGCAACTAGACCCATCAAAGAAGCCCGAGGACCCAGTCACAAAGATGTCCTCACACATGGAAGTTGCTGCTCCCTGAGGCAGGCGAGCGAGCGGCGCTGAGATTCTGTAGCTCTCAACCCCAGTTCCAAGGGCTCGGCTGTATTTGGTTTTCAAGCTCACCTGCTGCTTAATTCTGAGCAATGATTTCCCCATCAGTCCCTCCAACCTGGAGACAGGCCTGAGGGGTTGTCCACACCCGTTGGAGGTTGTCCAGTGTTGACCTTTGCTATCTCTTCCTATAGGACAGCCCGGTCCAATCGAAATAAAATTCAAGCCACATATGTAATCTTAAATTGTCTAGAAGCCACACACAAAGGTAAAAAGAAACAGGTGAAATTGATGGCAATGATATACTCTACTTAACCCAATATAGCCAAAATATTATCATCTCAGCATGTAATCAATAGGAAAATAATTAATGAGGTATTTGAAATTCTTTTTGTTCATCCTAAGCCTTTGAACTCTGGCATGTGTTTGACACAGCATGTCTCCATTTGGACTAGTCACATTGCAAGTGTCCAGTGGTGACCGTGTTGGACAGCGCAGGCACAGAGGGCCACAGGTTGTAAGCGAAGAGAATTGCAGACTGCAGCGTCTGAGAATCTGGGATTTGAAAGCTGAGCACTTTCGCTTCTAGCACTGATGAGTTTTAATCCTGAACCCAAAGGTTCTGTCCTCACCTCTCATTCTCCATCAGTTAGGGAGGATGCTATACCTGCCTCGCGATGCAGCTGTGAGCTTTCACAAGGCAACATCCCTCAACAGCTGGCATGCTCGGAGGGTGTCCAAAAACAATGATTTTGACCACTGGAGGGGTGAGCGACATCAGCCAGGACCCAGGCTCACGATGTCTGAAGGCAACACCAAAGACATCTTTAATTTCCAGTTGCATTTGTGGGCTTTGCACACACTCTTGACCAATTTTCTAATCCCAATCAGGAAAGGAAGCATTGGAGAGAGGTAAAATGCTGTGTTCCTTTAGAATGTAAAACGTTTAATTAGATGCCAAGGATTGAAAATCTTGATTCAGAGCCCGAAATGGCTAATAAGGTTTTATTGTTGCTATTACTTAGAGTTTTTATAGAACTTTAGGCTGGCAGAGTGCTTTTCAATCACTTGAGAGAATCTAAGTTTGTTAACAGCGAGATGAAAAAATGTTCTGTTCATCAGGAGAGACAACGTACATAATATTTTAAGTATTTAAGAATTACGACCCTGCTGTGAGAGCTACTGAAATTACTTCTACGTGGAGGCAAGAGATTCTCGTTGCGGGCACAGGACATTAACGCAGATGCCAGTGTTATTCCCCCGCTGAGTCTGCAAGGGTGAACTTTTGCAAGTCAGGAAAGAGGGAAGTTGCTAAAACAAACATTAGCTGGCTCTAGTTACACATATGGAGCTTTTTGCCCACACGTGATTTTTGAACATTTTTCTAAAGAGCTCTTAAGGTTTTATGGGTGATCATATTATAAAATCATACAGAGGGCCAATACGGCATAATTTATGACAACTCTGAGTCACCGAAATCTCCCAGGATTTTGCTGTCGGGCCTGCGCAATTGGAGACAAATTTGCACCAATTCCTCTATAAATATTATCAGTGGGGCAGCATTGGCTGGAAAACATGTGAAAAACGGATTTTCCTTCCCATGTTTACCAAAGGGAAATTCAGCCCTAGCATTCTGGATATATTAGCTTCTGCTACGACAATGCGGCCTAACACCAACTTGAAGCTTGGTGGCACACAACAATAAGTACTTATGCATCCGCGTGGTTGGCTAGACAGCTCTGCTGATCTCAGCTGGACTCACTCATGGCTAGTCCGGGGCTTATCCAGGCTGGCCTCGGCTGCACATGTCTCTCATGGTCCAGCAGGCTAGCCTGGGCATATTATCATGGAGATGGCACATGCCCAAGAGCGTGCGATCTCCAATGACGAGCCATCTTGAGCCTCTGTGTCACGCCTGCTAATGGCCTGTTGGCCAAAGCAAGTCACGTGGCTGAGCCGGCGTCCACAGCTGGGGTGGATCAACTCACCCACTGTGGGAAGGCATTGCAAGGTCCTATGGCCAAGGGCATGAATGAAAGGAGGGGTGAGTTTGTGGCTGTCTGTGTGAGCTACCCCAGGTAAGAGGGGATTCAAATAATTTTCTTTCTTTTTTTTTTTTAAAGATTGACACCTGAGCTAACTAACAACTGTGGCCAATCTTTTTTTTTTTTCTGCTTTATCTCCCCAAATCTCCCCTAGTACATAGTTGTATATCTTAGTTGCAGCTCCTTCTAGTTGTGGCTCGAATAATTTTCTTGAAAAGGAAAGGAAGGGCAAAAACAAGAAATGTCATCAGTGCATGCATCCATTCTGAGAGAAAAGCTTTTCAACTGGCGACACCAAGCTAATGCCAACCCACTTCCCATCCCCATCTCTTGGAACAGTTCCTAGGCCAAAGGTCATGGGAAATTTTTGACTGAGCTCTAAGGCGCAATTCTGACAGAGTGTGAAGCAAGAATGCTTTTCAAGTGTACCCCTTCATAGACAACACGTAGGTGAACAAGCCACAGCACTCTCCTGCCTGTCTCCTTCTAGCAACCTCCACTTACGGCCTCAGAAAGCAGAAGGACGGGAGTCACGGGCCCCTGTGGCCCTCCCTGGACCAGGGTTGGGTGGTCGCCACACATGCTGAGGAAAGACTCTGCTCTCTGCCATTAGGCTGAGTATCAGCTGGCCCTGTGCCAGGCTAGCATTCGTGCCCAACTGTCAGGGTGGCACCTGGCTGGCTTCTAGAAGCAGATGGTTCCAATTGATCTTTCCTTGCCAGTCTTTCCTGCTTTAACACTCCACACCTGCCCCGCTTCACCCTGGAACTTAAAGGAATCCTCACATTCTAGTTTCCTGTATCTTTTCCCTGGTAGTCAAATTGTTTTTCTTTTTTCTTTTCTTTTTTTTTCAAAGTTTTTACTTTTCTGCAATGGTCAGATTATAAATGGATTTGTATATACAGAGGGAAAAATCAATAGCCGTATTTTCTAGGACAAAATGTAACCTTGCAGCAAAGCACTGACAATTATAAAAAAAAAAATCATTTGTTTCTCTATTTCATTGATCTTGACAGACAGCTCACCTCATATTCCTAGACCAAACTGACTTTGGCCTCCCTGGATGTAGGCGACTTGGCCTGACAAAACCTCTCCTTGTGAGACAGAAGGCTCAGGAAGTCCCCTACCTGCCACACTTTGAGCCTCAGGCTGACAATTTAGTGGCCCAGAGGACAATACGGATTTAAAAGTTATTTTGTTTTTAAATAAAAGGCACGAGTTAGGGCAGCTAAATGTTACAGATATTCCAAAGGCAAGATTGCAGCTCAGGCCTGAAGCTCCAGCCTGGGTGGGGACAGGTGGCCCTGGTGACCAGCCTTCTGCTCCCTGCCCGCAACCCAGCCCACGGAGGTTTAGCTTCAGCCAGTGGGGCGGCCCAGAGGCACCCAGCAATGCACAGATCACAGGCGTGGTTGGGTGTTTCTCCTGCTATAGGCCTGAAGTGCCACCATTTGGGTAAATAAAAGGGAGGGGAAGACATAAACAAACACCTCAATATGCGTGGAACAGCTCTGGCCAAGAGCAACGTAGCACAAGCCGCAGACGGTATTCCGAATTTTCTAGTTATCACGTTACAAAAAAGTAAGAAGAAACAGGTGCAATTAATTTTAGTAAGATACTTTTATTTATTTAACTCAATATAACATATAATCCGTATGAAGTTATTAATAAGACACTTCACGTTCTATTTTCTGCACCAAGGCCTGGAAATCCAGTGTGTATATTATATTTGCAGTCCATTGCAATTCAGAATAGCCACGTTTCAAGCGCTCGACAGCCACATGTAGCTGGTGGCCACCATATTGGACAGCGCAGGCCTAGGGCGTTTCTAGAAGGGGGCTCGAGACACAGTTGGCAGGCTTGCCTCTCAGGAAGAGAAGTAAGGGGAACTGAGGATGGGGCTGGCGACCTTACCTTTAACCATAAACCCTTTTGTATTGCTTGAATTACGGACCAAGTATATGGATATTTAATATGCATATTAAAAAAAAAGACAGCATACTCTGATATTTTTCAACTGATGATACTCAGCGTTGGCAAGCAAAAGGACACAAGGCACGTTCCAACACTGTCAGTGGGAGTGTACGCCTGGACCACTGTCTTGGGGGGGAATTGGTACTACTCTCTTGTATTAGGGTTTTCCAGAGAAACAGAACCGATAGGAGAATATTCATTTAAATGTGTTTTTACTATATTGGCCCTGTGCTAAGTGCTTTTCATCTTCACAAAAACCTCAAGGTGGAAAGTGTTGTGGCCTCCATCTTACAATGTGGAAACCAGGCTCTGAGAGGTTGAGAAACTAGCCAGCCAGTAAAGGTGGGACTTGACTTTGAGCTGGCTCTGTCTGACTTCAAAGCTCGCAGACAGAAATAGGGAGAATGAACACAGATGGTCCAATAAAAGAGATTTATTATAAGGAATGGGCTCAAGTGATTCTGGAGGCTGAGTCCCACGATGTGCTGTCTGCAACCTGGATACTCAGAAGAGCCGGTGGTCTAAGTCCCGATCCAAGGGCAGAAAACCAAGGTTCCAGCTCAACAATCAGGCAGAGGGAGCAAATTCTCCCTTCCTCTGCTTGTTTGTTCTATTTGGGCCCTCAACGAATCAGATGAGGCCCACCCACATTGGGGGTGGGAGGCAATCTACTTATTCAGTCTACCTATTCAGATGTTAATCCCGTTTGGAAACACCCTCACAGACTCACTCAGAAATACTGTTTAACCAAATATTCGGGCACTCCAGGGCCCAGTGAAGTTGACACGTAAAATTAACCATCACATCTACTTTTGGGAACGTATCCTAAAGGAATGACCGAACAAGACGGCCAATGCATTAAAGACAAGGATGTTCATCTCAGCATCCTTAGTTCTTACTGGAAAATCGAAAACATCTTATGTGTTGTAAACAGATGTGCAGTGAAACTGCACCCTCTGGAGGGCGTGGCTTCTAAAGACAGGCAATGAGAGGAAATCACCAGTAGTCCTACTGCCCTTGGAAAGAACTCCGACACCAACATATTGGAAGCTCAGCACCAAATCCTACCCAGCGAGGTCACTGTTTCTCTGGCTGAGCCCCTGGTGCAGCAGTCCTCTTGCATGTCGGGGCCATACTGTGTGAAAAATACGGACCCCAGACACTAGCATCCTTTGGCAAGATTGGAAAGACATTTGAATTGAAGTGAGAGGAAAGAGGATTTGTGGCTTCCAGCTCATGCTCATTCTTTGAGTAAACTGGTAGACAGAATCGCCCTATTATTTACATTGTTTTCTCTCGCTCTGTGTACTCTATTTCAAGCACAGGGACATTCTCTAGGCCACCACATTGAAAGGGATTGGGGAGCATCAGAGACGGTGCTGGTGCTTACAGAAGACTGCAGTCCTGCTGGGGCCCCCGGACGACAGCACCTCCCCAGACAGCACCCCTGCCCTCACTCCATGCCACTACCCCCTGGGGCTCGAAAAAAGTTAGCAATGTCTCCTGCAGAGATGGCTCCCCACCCCGGGGCCCCAGCTTCACCACCCCTCCCCTTCAGGGCCATGCTGGGGCTTCTGCGGTCACCCTGCAGATTGTCAGGCCACACACTGAGCCGGCGAGCTCAAGTAGCAGGCTTGTCGCAGCAGGAGGGACTCCAGCAAACAGGCCACTCCAGAGGAACAAGCACAGCCCGGCAGCACAGAGGCACGGGCAGGAGGGAAGCATGAAACGGTCCTGCGCAGCAACTTGCTGTCATTTCCGGTCAGCAAGTGCCAGCCTCTGCACATGCCAATAAGAATCACTCCCATTCGCTGGTGGTTTACCCGGAACAGGCCTGGACAGAGGGTCTCTCACTTATCCAGGAAGGCGTGGCCACAACGACCTCTCAGATAAAGCAAGCCGGCAGCGGAGAGGCGAATTAACTCACCTAAGTCTTGCGGGTTGGGTTCCCTGGGAAGGAGACTCTAAGGCAGAGGTGAGCAGGCGAGATGTTTACTCAGTACCCTTGGAAAGGAGGAGAAGGAAGCAGGGGAGGGAGGGCAGAGGGCAGTCAGCTGTGATGCAGGCCCATGACAGCCTCCCCACCCCCACAGGAAGCTCTGGAGCCAGCATGGCCCTTCAGAGTTGTCCTGAGTTGCACCAAGATGGCCGGATTTTTATAACCCGGCAGCCATCGGTCATTGAGTGGGGCCCACCCCCGGAGGCCGTGACTTTGGAGACGTGCTCTCTGGAGCCACAGCGGACCCGAACCGGCCAAGACCTGAGGCCGTCTGCCAGTAGCACTGTTGATTGCAGCTGGAGCAACACATCCTTCCTTGAAGGGGGACCGGGCCTCTTCACATCACCGTGCCCACCACACCAAGGTCACCCAGCTATTGAGGGACAGAGCCGCCACTGAAAGCAAGCAATCCAATTTCTGCAATTTCTGCTCTGCCACTGAGCCAAACTGCCTCGCCTGGGCCCCCACTTTCTCAGCAGCCCTGGTGCTCCGCCTGGACTGTGTCCTCTCTCTCAGATGCTCTAGAAGAGAGTGAGTCCCTTTCGGAATCTAGGTGACAAGGCCCTTCCAGCAGCTCGCGGGCCCGCCACAGGAGCTCCCTGACTAGCGGTTCCCATTACTAAGGCCGTGGATCTTTCACTTTTGCACCAACTAGGCCAGACATTGTGACTTCCTCTCCAGCCCACGGGTGGACCGCTCTGCCCCCGCCCTGCCCGTCACCGTCACCACCGTCAGCCCTGCCACATCCTTTAGCATTTTTAAGACGGGCTGTAATTATCCAAAGGAATTTTACCAAAACCTAAGGAGATTCACAAGGGAAACAAAGAGCATTTGAAGCACATAGTGACGCTTAGAAAGTAGGGTTTTCTTCTCCTAGGATAGCTTACCAGGCATCAGTAAGCTGAACTGAAATCCTGATTCAGAGACTGCCCTTGTCCCGTCTCAAGTTTTCATTCACCCTTCCCCCATACACACACACACACACACACACACAGCCACACAGGGCAGGGGTTTCGGGAGCCACTCAGTCCTGCAGCCCATCTGGAGGTAAGTGGCACAGAGGACAACCCACGCGGGTAAGGCCCAGATGTAACCACCCTCCCTCCCGCCCCTCCTTAGGGGAGGGCTGCTCTTTCATTTGGAGGGAGCAGGACTCTGGGATCCAAACACACACACAGCAGTGGCTTGCGTTGGGACAGTGGTCTTTCTGGCTAAAGATTGGATGGAAATGGATGGGTTGAGGGAAGAACACTGATGTAGGAGCTGAGGGGCAAAGGACACAGAAGAAGAGGCAGAAATGGGTCAGAGATGGAGAGAGAGAATAACAGCTTTTGTCAGAATTCCTCTCTGTCCAGCCTGGTGCATTTGTTTGCTAGGGCTGCAGTAACAAAGTACCACACACTGGGGGCTTAAACAACAGAAATTACTGTCTCCCAGTGCTTGAGGCTGAAAGTCCAGGATCAAGGTGTCGACAGGGTTTGTTCCTTCTGAGGGTGGGAGGGAGAATCTGTTCCAGGCCTCTCCCCTAGCTTCTGGTGGTTTGATGGCAATCTTTGGCGGCCCTTGGCTTGTAGATGCATCACCCTGATCGTCTTCATCTTCACATGGTGTTCTCCCTGTGCGCATCTCTGTCGCTAAATTTCCCCTTTTTATAAGGCCCACCCTAATGACCTCATTTTTACTTGATAACCTCGGTAAAGCCCCTACCTCCAAATTAGGTCACATTCTGAGGTACTGGGGGTTAGGCGCCAACATATCTTTTGAGGAGGGGGACCTAATTCAACCCATAAAACTTACTGATTCCAAACTTAGAGTGGCCGTCTCTGGTTTTTGCCTGTCATCGTGGCTGGCTGTCTTCTTCTGGTAACAGCACTCCTCTTCCTGTAGGAATGAATCCTTCCTTTCCACACGGGCTGCCAATAACACACCCCTGTCCTCCCATTACAGGGATGAGCACATGCCCCGAGCTGGCCAATCAGATTCCCTCTCTCCATCTCTCTTTCCATGTTTGTAATTATTTAAGTGAGTTAGTTGAGAGAGAGAGAGAAGTTGAGGCTGTTCCTGAAAATTGGCCCAGGCCCAGTCTGTTCCCAGTATTTGCTTTTTCCGAGAAGTCCTGCCTATGACATGCCTGCACTATGACAAACCCAAGGCTGCTGTGGTTGGGGAAACAGCGTGCCCTTGAGGCTTGAACCCCAACCTCCTCATTAACTAGCTCACAGACTGAGGAGTTTTCCGTGACTCAGTTTTCTCATCTAAAAAATATGATGACAACGATGCTATCGATCTCAGAGCATTCCTGTAAGGATCACATGTGTGAGAATACTTTGCATAGAAGCAAAATTCTGTACAATTGTTTGTCCTTATTAGAAAGGTAGAAATCTAGGAATAGGAGAGCCAAAGAGTAAGAATTTTTTGGTGTTTACCCAGGCCTGACTTAGAGCACTGGCGTCACACTTCCCCGCCTCCCCCTTCCCCTGCATCTTGCGGTTAGGCAGGGCCACAGGATACGTTCTGCCCACTGAGTTGTGAGCTGAAATGACAAGTGTCACTCCCCAGCCCAGAGTCAACGTGGGAGGGAGTACATTAAGGGCGTGAATATTGGCAGGTGGGTTTCATTAGGCATCACCAAATGGCAGTCTACCACAAAGGTCAAACAGTCATTCGTTTATTCACCCATTCATTCATTCATTCATGAAATCCTTTTTAAGCACCTTGCATGAGCCTAGCAGGGTGCTGGGCTCCCCGGATTAAAAAATGAATAAGCCAGGTTGTTGACCTCAAAGTGTTCCACATGTCACAGGGGAGGTAGGTGCATGCAAATAATTGCAATATAATGTATTCATCCCTAGAAGAGAGGGCAGCACTGTCTGGAGGAGGCCAGAGTGGCTTCCTGGAGGAGGTAACATATGAGCTAGTTCTTAAAAGGCAAGTAAGTGATTACCAAGCAGACGGCAGCAGAAGAGCTTTTCAGGCAGAGGAAACCACACCTCCCAGGACATCAAATGTTGTAGAGGTTCTGGAGAGAGGTTCAGACTGCCTGGAGCATAGGGTGCGGGGAATGTGAATGCCAGGCTAAGGCATTTGGATTTGATGCTGAAACCTGGGGAACCAAAAGAGGTTTTCCAGCAGAGATGAAGTCTTTCTAGGAGAATAACTCTGGTGAGAGGGTGGAAGATGAAATGGCAGGGGAAAGATTGGAGGCAGGCCAGGGTAGAAAGCCACTGCATGAGTACTGGAAAGGGATGATGAGGCTCAAACCAAGGCACCAGGGTGAGGATTGAGGCAATAAACCAGATTCAAGTAGACTTTCTGGGGTATAGGTAGTAGATGTCGGAATGGGGGCCTGAGGATGACTAATTCTGGATGATTGGCCTGAGTTTTTTAGACAGAAGCCTGGAGCGAAGAACGCCAGTGTATTAGGCCTCCATAGCTTGATGGAAATTTGTTTGTTCTAATTCTCTGCTTCCTAAGTAGTCTTCTGGTCTATCATTTGGTCGACTGAGGAGATTGACCCTTCTGGAAGAACGGCCTGTGCAGATCAAAGGCTTGTGTTCAGAGACCCAGAGAGGAAAACACAGTCGAAAATCTAGTCAAAAACACAGACTTCTCTTACCTCCTGCTCTGCTGCTAAGGAATTAGGTCCCAGTTGCACATTTTGGCTGCGGTTTTTCCTTCTGGAACAGATGGATGCATTTTCTCCTCTACACATAAGGACAGAGGTGACAGAATTTGCTGCTAGATTGAATGCAGAGTGTCAGGGAAAGAGCAAAGGTGAAGATAACACCAGGCTTTGGGTTTGAGCAGCTGGAAAAATAGAGTTACCATTTATTGAGATAGGGAAGACTGGGGGAGGAGCAGCTTATGGGAGGCAGGAATTTAATTTTGGACATGCTATAGGTGAGATGCTATTAGGCATGCAAGAGGGAAGATGGAGAAAGTGGTTGAATACATTAATATAAAGTTCAAAGACATTACCTGGAATGCAGCAAAGAAAAAGAGATGAAAAACATAAAAGAAGACTTAATAGATATGGAGGATAAAATGAAACAGTCTAATGATTGTTTGATTGGAGTCTCAGAAGGAAAAACACGGAAGAAGGGCAATATTTGAGGGGATAATGGCTGACAACTTTCCAAAATTAATGAAAGACATGAATACTCAGATCTAGAGAGTCCAACAAATTCAAATAGGATAAAAAGAAATCCACACCGAGACACATCACGATGAAACTGCAGAATCAAAGAAGAAACCAAGAGAAGGTTCTAAAAGTAGCCTGGGTGGGGAGGAGGGGAGGACAATTACCTATAAAAGAATGACAGTTAAAATGTCAGCATAGTTTCTAACAGCAACAGTAGAAACCAGAAGATAGCCAAGTGCTTTTTAAAAAACAATATAATTCACATACCATGCAATTCATTGTTTTAAAGTGTGCCATTAATGGTTTTTCATATATTCACAAAGTTGTGCAACCATCACCACTATCTAATTCTGGAATATTTTTATCACTCCAAAAAGAAACCTGCTGCCCATTGGTAGTCACTCTCTATTCCCCTGTCCCCCCAGCCCCTGGCAAGCGCTAACCTACTTTTCATCTCTGTGTTGTTGTTACGTGCCGTCGAGTTGGCTTCGACTCCTGGCGACCCTATGAATGAGTGCTGTCCACAGTGTCCTGTCCTCAACAGCCCTACTCAGCTCCTGTGGACTCATGCCTATGGCTTCCTTTATGGAATTGATACATCTCACATTTGGTCTTCCTCTTTCCCTGCAGCCTTCTACTTTTCCCAGCATTATTGTCTTTTCCAAAGAATCCTGCCTTCTCATGATGTACCCAAAGTAGGGCAGCTTCAGTTTTATCATTTTTGTCTCCCGCAATGGTCCAGGCTTAACTTGTTCGAGGACCCACTTGTTCGTCCTTCTGGCAGTGTAGGGTATCCATAGAGCTCTCTTCCAACACCATATTTGAAATGAATCCATTTTTTTCCTGTCAGCCTTCTTCACTGTCCAGCTTTCACACCCAAATATAGTAATTGAGAATACGAGGGTGCAGATAATCTTGGCTTTGGTCAACACACTTGACTAATGACACTACCTTGCACTTGATGATCTCTCCTAATTGTTTCATTGCTGCCCTTCCAAGTCTCAATCTTCTCTTGATTTCTCTCTCTCTCTTTTTTTTTTTGCTGAGGAAGATTCACCCTGAGCTAACATCTGTTGCCAATCTTCTTCTTTTTTTACTTGAAAAAGATTAGCCCTGAGCTAACATCTGTGCCAAGCTTCCTCTATTTTGTATGTGGAGTGCTGCCACAGCATGGCTGACAAGTGGTGTAGGTCCACGCCTGGGATCCGAATCTGTGAACCCAGGCTGCCGAAGTGGAGCACACCAAACTTAACCACTATGCCATGGGGTCGGCCCTCTCTTGATTTCTTGCCTGCAGTCTCCATTTAAATTAATGATTGAACCAAGGTAAAGAAAATCTTTAACAATTTCAATGTTTTCATTGTCTACGTTAAAGTTGTGTAGTTCTTATGTAGGCATGTGGGGTTTTTTTTGTTTTGTTTGTTTTTTGCTGAGGAAGATTGGCCCTGAGCTAACATCTGTTGTCAATCTTTCCCTTTTTGTATGTGAGCTGCTGCAACAGCATGGCCACTGACAGATGAGTCATGTAGGTCCACGCCCAGGAACCAAACCTGGGCTGCCAAAGTGGAACATGCCAAACTTAACCATTAGGCCATGAGGGCTGGCCCTGTAGTCATGGTTTTTGTCTTCTTGATGCTCAAATGCAGTCCTGCTTTGGCATTTTCTTCTTTCACTTTTGTCAGAAGTTGTTTCAAGTCATTGCTTTCTGCCAGTAAAATGGTGTCCTCTGCATATCTTAGATTGTTGATATTTCTTCCACCCATTTTTACTCCTCCTTCATCTGAGTCTAGCCCAGCTTGTCGTATGATATGTTCTGCATACAAATTAAACAGATAGATAAAATGCACCCTTGGCTGACTCCTTTGCCTATAGGAAACCATTCTGTCTCTCCATGTTCTGTCCTGACACTGGCTTCTTGACACAGTACAGGTTGTGCATC